TTCTGTGGACTCTAGGAACCACAAGTAAACCTGCACTCTGAGAGCAAAGTGCTCTGTTAGGATGATAAGGCTCTACGAGGTCTTTAAGATACGATGGAGCCTTGTCATTAACATTACTCTGGCTGCAGCATTTTGGATTAGCTGGAGGCTTTTTAGGGAATTATTGGGATATACTTATAGTAAAGAGTTACAGTAGTCCAGCCTGGAAGTAACAAATGCATGGACCAGTTTTTCAGCATCACTTTGAGACAGGATGCTCCTGATTTTTGCAATATTGCGTAGGTGAAAGAAGGCAGATCTAGAGACTTGGTTTATGTGTGATTTAAAGGACATATTCTGATCAAAGATGACTCCAAGGTTCCTCACAGTAGTACTGGAGGCAAGAGTTATGTCATCTAAAGTAACTATATGATTAGACAGCAGATTTCTAAGGTTTTCAAGGCCCAAGCACAGTGACTTCAGTTTTGTCAGAGTTTAGAAGTAAGAAGTTACAGGCCATCCAGGCCTTTATGTCTTTAAGACATGCTTGAAGTTTGACCAGCTGATCTGATTCATTTGACTGCATAGATAAATATAACTGAGTATCATCTGCATAGCAATGGAAATTTATGTTGTGCTTCCTGATAATATTGCCTAAAGGGAGCATGTATAAAGTGAAGAGAATTGGACCTAACACAGAGCCCTGTGGAATGCTGTGACAAACTTCGGTCCGTGTGGAAGATTCATCATTAACATGAACAAATTGAAATCTTTCTGATAAATAAGATAAGATTTGGTTTTTCCGGGTTGCAAGTGAGAGCGGACGTTTTTTTCAGCTCCTCTTGTCTGTTCTGGGATTTTCATATCTGTTTCATATTTTCTACACCTTCAAGTTTTGGAAAAGTCTACATCTTGAAATGGCTCCTAAAGGGAAAAGAGCAAATAAATCTGAAGCCGCTGAGGAAGTCGAAGCTGAAGAGAATTTTGCTGCGGACTTGCTGGAGAAGAAACGACTTCTGACCGCGCTGCCTAATCATC